AACTGCTTTTGAGAGGACGCGGATGTGGGGCTTAGCAGACAAATACATCAAAGCAACTATTATAAATGTGTCCACAGAGCCAAAGGGAACTGCATCTAAAGGGTTACAGAATAAGCGAAATTATAAAAAATAACCAAATGGGAATTCTGGAGTCAAAAAGTACAACATCCCAAATGATGTTACTACAGAAACATAATAGGTTCGAACTGCCAGCAGAGAACAATGGATCTGAAGATAAATTACCAAAGATATTGTAATTTGAAGCTCACAGAGGGAAAAACAAATGAAGGGAAATGAGTACAGCATTAAGCACACTGATGTATGAATAACGGGATTACCGCAGGATGAACACAAAGATACCCACACGCATACACACCACGGTAAAAATGTAGAAAGACAAAGACAAAAATAAAATCTTGAAACAATCGTAAAACAAAAACAAAAACACCTAACTCCTATGTGCGACAGAACTGCAGTGCGATTAACAGCGGACTTTTGAGGAACAACAGGGTGAAGACGAAGTAGGAGGGCATTGTCAAAGTGCTGCAAGGAAAAACCAGCAACTAAACGATACCGAGAATGAGTACCTCCAAGCTGCCTCCCAATGATCTGCATCCACCACTCAGAGCCGCAACGAGCTGCCGCTTCATACTCACCAGGACAGCTGGGATAGAAAGAGGGGACAAGAGCTGGCCAGGATGAGAAGTTGGAATCCGCATACATTGCTGGGAGGATACAGAATGGGAAAGCTAAGTGGAACAGTCTAGAAATTCCTCTAAATGTTAAACACAGGATTTCCAGAGGACCCAGCAATTACACTCCTAGGTATAAACACGGGAGCAAGGAAATGCGTGTCTCCAAGAGAACCTGTGCACAAGTAGCAGCACGAGTCACAACAAACAAAAAGAGCACGAACGATAATATACGTCAACTGCCACAAAGATAAATAAAAAATGTGCTATATATGTGTAACAGGTTGTTATGAAGCATTAAAAATAATGAATTTTTTAAAAAAGATTTATTTATTTATTTGACAGACAGAGATCACAAGTAGGCAGAGAGGCAGGCAGAGAGAGGGGCGGGAGCAGGCTCCCTGCTGAGCAGAGAGCCCGATGTGGGGCTCGATCCCAGGACCCTGGGACCATGACCCGAGCAGAAGGCAGAGGCTTAACCCACTGAGCCACCAGGAGACCCAAAATAATGAAGTTTTGATACGTGTTACAATGTGGATGAAACATGAACACATTATAGTAAGTGAAAGAAGCCAGTCACAAAAGACCACATGTTGTACGGTTCCTTTTATGAGAAATTACCATATTGGGCAAATCTATAGAGATAGAAAGTGAGATTAGTGGGGTCTAGGACTGATGGGGGTTGAGGGGATGGGGACTGTCAGGGGTTTCTTTCTGGGGTTATGCAGAGTCTCAGATTAGGTGTGGTGAGGCTTCTAGAATTCTGTACAAATAGACCACAAACCACTGAATTACACATTTCCAAAGGGCGGGGGGATTCTCTATGATCTATGAATTACATATCAAAAACACTGTCTTTTAAAAAAAATAGAACCTATTTGTTGGCACCTCATTAGGCTAAGTGACATAACAAATGTGAGGCGGTTAGCCAAACACGTGGCACAAAGTCCTCAGTGAATTAAGGTCGCACCTTCTGCTACTGTCCCGGGCATCGCTGTTTCCTGTGCTGTCACTAACGCAGTCATTCCGGAAAGGCACCTGCCGTGTGTCACACTTCATGTGCCTGTGCCTAGTGATCACAACAGACCTGTGACATCAATTAGGTAAAGACGTAAGAATTATACTTACTGCCTTTTTAAAAAAATAATCTTATTTAGTGAAATATGAAATACTTTGAGTCAAGGTACTTGGTGGCAATTATCAGGATGACGTTAGAGGTCTTTCTAGGGTTTACGGATGGTACAGTGGAGAAGTCCATGACCTTGACGGATATTAGCAGGCTTTCCTGGGACTGTCTATGCCTCCTCCGCCAGGCGTCACACCCTGATTCTACCGTGAGGGTTCAGCTTGGACAAAACTACTCCAGAACCTTACAGAGATGCTGCCCCCTCCCAGCAAGGCAGCATGCCAACTCTCTCTGCCCCTCGGGGCATCCAGATGTGTCCTATTTCATCCCTGTAGTGACACTGCCCATTCCCTGCCTCTCTCATCAGACAACACAGGTCTGAAGCACGTTCATTATTCGCGAGACCCTTAGGGAAGCACTCATTTTAGTTTTCAAGAATATTTGTTTACTATAAATAAAGCCATCAGCTCTTAACTTTGATGGTGTTCCTCATATTCATTTTTAAAGAACTACAGCAAAGTGCTTCCAAATGCAAAAGCTGAGAACCATGGGAGAAAACTGTCCATCAGAAAATATTTTTAAAAATTAGTACCTATCTGTGCATCAGAAATCACATTGTCTCACAACAGTCAGCCATGTTCTCTACCTGAAGGTATTAAACTCTTAGTTAAGCAATATAGTTTAGCTTACGACTTCCGTACTGCAGATAAAACCAGGAGACTAGGATATCTATTTTTATTTTTCTCCCCTCCCAAGGATCTTGTATTCCAAATGCTTTCTCTGCTAGGATCTACAAAGGTGTGTGAGAGACAACAAGTCAAACCAAAGAGAATTCTACGGGCACCTGACTTCCAGCAAATAGCTGGGTCAACCAGAAACATTGAGAGGGAGAGAAGAAGGAGGAGGAGGAGGTGGAGAGAAGGGGAGGGGGAGGGAAAGCAGAGGGAGGAGGAGAGGGAGGGGGAGGGGGAGGAGGAGGAGGAGAAGAAAAAAGCTTAATTGAGATGAACCTGGGACTTTAATTAGAACCAAAAAAATAAATAAATAAAACCCAAAAGCAAAAACAAAAAAACAAAAAACAAAAAAACCCCAAGAACAACAAGAACAAAAATGGAGCCATCCTCTAATGTAAAAACATGTCATTTCTCTTCATACCTTAAGAGATTTGATAGATGAGCAACTGGGGAGCCATCAATCAAGAAAGAAATAAAGGACCTGACAGCTGCTTGAGGGACGATCCCATTCAATATTTTTTATTATCTGGCTAATGAAAGGGGACTTCTCATCCTCCCTTTTTCTCCTTTAAAATGCCTCTGATTTGTCCTATCATATAGCAAATGCCCCTGAACCCCACAGTCATAAGTCTGGTTGCAGTCATTTCTGTTGTGTCATCTACAGACAAAGCATCAGTGAAAGCGGATTAAATGCCTTTGGAAGATTAACGGGGAAAGCATACAGATTTCTAGTCCAGTGACCAGAATATTAAATTCCAGGGTTCGTTATCCAGAGAAGTTTTTTTTTTTTCTGTTCTTTTTCACTTCTTTATCTCACGTGTAGTTGTCATGTATGACTTGTGCCATTAACTCCCATGGAGATCAAAGAGAACCAGAAATCTCAAGCTGCTGCTCATGGGACAGAGTCCAGGGCAGGGCTCAGCCATCGGGAGGGAGAGCCTTGGCTCACAGAGACCCCAGCTTCAGTAAGCCTGGACCCCTGCTGGGTTAACGGGAAGCACCTCGCCCAATCTCACAAATAAATCCAAGTCTATGAGCTCTGAAGGCATGGCACACCTCCCTACAGCACAGATGGCTTCCATTTCCAGTCCGAGCCTTTATGAAAGAAAGCCAAGGAAGAGATCTCTTCCTTTAGTGCATTATATGAAGAGTTCTAGCTCTTTCATTAAGGAAGATCTGTTTTTCTTGGGAGAACATGGAAGAAATCAGCCACATTGTCTTCAATCCTAAAATTTATGCCAAATCACCACCACCGTGTCATTGGCAAAACCCTGTTGTAACCATTCTCCAATCAAAAGCCCTTTACAAATTAGAGTAGATGTGGAATCAACCCACTCCAAATTCCCTTGAAAAGCAGGTGTTAATATTTTCTTGAAAAATTTTAATGAGATTTAGCATTTGCACATACATAGTATTTGAAGGGTCTGGTTATGAATGCCCCTTCAGCATCCAAAATCCACACACCTGTGCACAAAATCCTTCTAAGATGCAGAGTCTGAATTCCCTCTTTCCAAAGAGAGAAAGACACTTAAGACAGACTGAAAGCATCTTCTAGAAATGTAATAAATGTTCAAAAACTTATTTGCCAAAACTTTACTATGGTCAAGACCTTAAAGGATTTTGGCCACACACATTTGCTTAGCTAACTAAATCATGTCTCACTCATCTGTGTATGACCGATTTATGTACTCAAGACTCTAAGTATCCACTAAGGTTTTCTTCCCTAAAAATATGGAAATATTTTAAGAAAATTAAAAGACAAGGCACTGAGATTTTGGCTTGGGGTAGCCTGAGGAATGCAGGCATCTTCTCAATGGGGCCAGATACTCCTCACTATATGGTCCCAACAAATGGGATCACTGGAAGCATTCAAGTGATGTTCAGTGTCTACATCAGATACTAAGAAAATGGGGAAGTACCAAAGAATCATTGGTCCCACAAGATTTGGACTGCCTGGCTATGGATTCATCACCGCATTTGGGCAAACACCCTGATCTGTAAGTATGTGATCCTCAACACATCCTTCCAAAGTGCTTCCAAGCACCTGATCAAATAATCCAGCTGGCCAATCAGTTTCCCAGTGTTGTTCCATTTGGAATGAAGACATCCCTGCAGCACTAGCAATGGGCCAGTAAGTTATGGTGGAACCGTCCCCTGGAGAGTTTGTGACATCAGACCTGGCCATGAGTTCGAAGAGCAGTCTTCATGCTGTGCTCTTCCCAAGTTCTTGTACAAACAACAACGTTAAGTCTGGGCGTGTGCGCTGCCGCCAAATGCACCAAAAGAGGCAGAATGACATATTTTAGACAGTATTATTTGGCGATTTCCTCCTGCTTTTACAGACCAAAGAGATTTGTCCTGCCATAATAACAGAACCAGCTACAATCCCTCAAGGGAAACTGCACCCCCTCCCCTTTCACACACCATGGGCACCCAAGCCGTACTCACCAAACCTTTGCACGTTGAGAGAGCCACCGAGGAGTTTTTGTGGGATCGTAAGGAGCCTTGATAGAAACAGAAATCCTCAGGCGGGAAGGTGTGCACGGACTTCGTGCCTCCCTTCCCCAGTGTCTGCACGATAAATCCGGGAGCCACCAGGTTGCTGGAAGCTTTCAGCTCCACGTGGAAGTCGTGCCTGAAGCCCTTCAGCCGAAGGTGGAGAGACTCTACCCTGAGCGGGGCCAGCCCCCTCTTCCTCCTCCGAGAGTGCGTGATTTCATGGGACACATAGTCTCCATTGTGGTCAACCTCATAGGGAGACACCAGGTCATATTCTGAAAGGCAAAGAGAGTAAGGCTGAGTAAGTGTGGGGTTCTGGAAAGACTCAGGGAGTCATGGAATGTAATTTACTGCCAGGTGACATTTCCGCCTGGTAAGAAAAGGTGGTAGGAAATTTCAGCTTCAAGCTGACCCCAGATCCACACTGTAGGATGAAAACAACCAGAGTCAGGAGTGAAAATCTTCCAAGTGGCCTTTAGGGAAGTCTCACTGACTCAGAATGTGTTATTTCCAATCCGGCAATATCTAGGCACTCCAAAAGAAAACTGGATCATAGGCCAAAGAAAACTGGAAACAGACCTTTAGGATTATATCTCATAAATTTTACTTTGTACTCATGATAACATGAAATCATTGATGGTTCTAGATACTCTTTTAGTCGTTCTTTTGTTTTTTTACAAAAATCTTCATTGTGCTGACAAGAAATTTTAGCTTCAAAATACCAACCATTTCTCAGAAAGCAGTTAAAAAGACAACTATGATGGGCATTCCTTGATGTTTAATATTTTAATAGTTAATTGTTAAATCAAAGAATCCTACAAACCGTATGCAGACATATTCCAGATGCTAATGCTTCCTACACAGTCTGCTCCCACTGAACACCACTGCCCACCCTCTTCCTGGCCGGAGTTTCCGGCACATCGTTGGAGTTCACCACTCAAGGTCTTCCTCACTGTGCACCATGGTCTCCTGCCCACTCCAGTTCGTAGTATGCTAGCCCAAAACACATTCAAATGCGTATTTTTTTTTTCAAACGTCAATAAGGGGCTGTCTGATTTCAGGGCACCCACAGGCTTGCAGGGCATCAGGGGCTGATGATGTCCCAGTGTGGCATTGGCACACATCCAAGTTGTCTCCCTCTCTGTGGAAAGCACAGAAGGATGCTTTACAGCTCCTTTCATTACAAAATGTGTGGTCAGGAGCCTGTGAGAGGCTCATAACAGGGGCCCTTTCCTGCGTCAGGGCGAGTTGTACATTATTCTGGGAGTCATAAGATAAAACACAGAGATGACTTTTGGTCAGAAATAAGCAGTATTTGGGTAATTATTTTTTTCTGGAGAAATGAGGTTTTCTCTACAACCAATCTATTTCAGTGCAGTGTCTGTCCATAGGTCCTTGTGCCATCAGGGACAGGGAAAGTTCACGCTGGAACAGAGCAGGCAGCCAGTGCCAGTCAGAAATGGCCGTGGTGGGTTGGGAGAGGCAGAGCAGGCCTCGGGTGGTGAGGTCCTGTCTGGAGCCCCACACTGAAGCCGGTGGTGGGTGCGTGTCCAGGCCCGGCAGCAAAACCAATCCAGTGGCAGGATAACTGAAGGCTCAGCTCTGGCCTCGGCAATTCCAGGGAGGCTGTGTCCTCTGGGCAAGAGCTTCGATTTCTGACCCCAGGGGCCTGGTCCTGCCATGCAGGGATCAACAGGTACCCTAAGGGCCACGGGCAGCGTGTTGGGACAGACCACGTGACAGCCAACCATCAAAATCTACAGCGAAGCAGGGCATTTGTGTCCCAGAGGACAAAATGCATTGGGCCTCTTTCCTGTTTTACTTGGGAAACCAAGAAAATGAAACACATCTGCTTAAGCTGTGTGCAGCAACAGGAGAAAGGGGGAAGCAAGTCAGGGATTTGCTCGTCTGGGGTAAGCCTAGGATTGCAGCCCGTCCTGGGCCGCGCTGAGAGACAGGTGAAGCATGCGTGCCTTTCCACCTTGGGATGGATCCTCCCACTGCCGTCTGCATCCCCAGCTTCCTGGACTGAGGGGGTAGGCTGGTGCACGTGGCCATGTTGCCCAGTCACCATGCCGCCCAGGGTTCTAAGGGGAAACCTCTCCCCCTCACTCCAAGTCTGTGTCCATTCCAACAGGGGCTGTGGAGTCTTCCAAATACTGGCTAATCAGCAAATTAAAACATAAAAAGATGATTACCACTTAAAAAAAATCAAATTGTTTCCAGATGATATAAGCCATATTCTTAGGACCTTGTTTTGGAGAACACATAACATGCATCCTTTATCTGGAGGGGACACAGAGTATCTACTCTCAAAATAGTGACTGATAAGGCTCTTCTACATAAACACATACGGGTCCTGTTGATAAACGCTAGACGACCTGTTATCTCAGGGGAAAAAAATAAAGGGCCTGCTTTCCCGCATTTGCCCATTCCTCACCGTGGCTGATCTCCAGCACCAACGTGACGTCACTCAACACGGAGTGTGGAAGAGCTGCCCAGTAGCACACCTGGACACACGCAGCATCTCCCTCACCAGACAGAATGCATGCAAAGAACCTTAACCGCACAGATAAGAGCAAAAAATGTAAGGGATGAGATTTGCATGTTTTAATTTTGTTTTTAAAAGGACTTGTTTCCCTGTAACTTTATATACCTCCTTTTTCAGTGAACAGCTCTGCCAAACTTAAAGGAAAGTAACAATCAGCTCCGGAGGACTGGTAGAGGCTGGCCCTGGGCCACCAGCTCCATAAACAGCAAAGCCACACTTTGTGACCAATGACAATTGGTTCTGAAGAATGAGGAAGCGAACGTGTGATGGAAGAAGACCGTTTTTTCAATTTAGTCTACTGATTCTCAACCAGAGTGATTCCTCTCCCATACCCAGGGAGACAAATGTCTGGAGACATCTCCCTCTGCCACGGAGTGGGAAGGGGACAGTGGTGTTCTTGGGATCTACGGACCCCATCCAGAGATGCTGCTACAGAGTCTTCAGTGCATGGGACAGACTCCAGGGACAAAAACGGTAATACCGCCAAGGCGAGGGGGTCTGGATTTAGTCCCACAACAGTCCTTTCTATCAAATGTGTATTCTTGGTTATGTATAAATGAATGTGAAAAAGGTCATCACTGAAGAATTCAATGAATGAACAAAATAAGCATAATATTTCATCATACTCCTGTTGCTATCTGGAAATAAATCAATACATAACTGTAATAGACTGAAAACATTAATTTTTGAGCTTATATTTTCATATTATAATCCCCACAAAAATTGGCTTGTGATTTCAAGAAAAAAAATAGTGTGAGTCCTAATCTTTGAGAATCCTTTATTTTTTTAACCTTTTTCTTAAAGGTTTTATTTACTTATTTTGAAGAGAGAAAACTAGAGGGAGCATGCTCCAAAGAATGAGCGGGGGGGGGGGGGTGGCAGAGGGAAGCAGGGAAGGGCAGAGGGAGGGAGAGAGGGAGGGAGGAAAGGAGGATCAATCTCAAGCCAGCTCCCTGATGAGCATGGCCTCAGGTGCAGGGCTCAATCCCAGGACCCTGAGATCATGAGCTGAGCTGAAGTCAAGAGTTGGACGCCTAAGGAACTGAGCCTCCCAGGCACTCCTGTTTGAGAATCCTTTAGGTAAGACCTATGGCCTTTACACCCTTGGTTAAGGAGGAAAACTTCACATATGGCTGCTCCAGTCGGTGGTCCAAACTCCTTGATTTCAAGAGGTTTTCTGACCACAGCCTCAAGTCCAAGAATACTCTGGTTTCACAGGGAATGCATGAGGTGTAGACCACCTGTGCATGCAGGGCTGGTTCACAGCAGCTGCAGAGCGCGGATCTGCACCTTACCTCCTACCCCAGCACTCAGTGACATCACATCCATAGCTTGGAAGCAGCCACCTTGTGAGTGTTTACCCCATGGGAACCAGGAAAGTCCTCAATCCCGGCTCCAAAGAGCCTGTCATTAAAGACTGACAAGCACCCCACGGGTGAACCTGAGAGACATGACCCTGTCTCACATTCCCCGAATGTCTGAGAGCAAATCAATACAATTTTCCAATGCACACACAGAAACAACAGGTCTATTATGTACGACGAAACCCCTTTCTAGAGAACTTCTAAACCTTGCCTTGGAAGTGTAACTTAGTCTAGAATCGAAAGCTAATGAATATGTGATATCTCTTGGCTCTCAACAAGAGCCACTATTTTTCTTTTTAAAGGCAAATCTGGAAGAAAGGCATTAAAATCTCCCACTAAGGAAAAACAATTCTGAATCAGCCAAAATGAAACGGGCGTACTTCATGTCTGAAAACAGTTTAGTTATCTGTTGTGGCATCAAGCATAGAGGGCAGAAAAGAAGAAGAAAAAAAGAAAAGGAATAGAGGGCATTCTCTTTCCCGCTGCTGAACTGCTTCAGACACAGGAAAACTGGCAATCACAGTCCGAATTATGCGTGAAATAACCTTCTGGCCAAAAAGAGCAATTCCAAAGTCCATTTGAAAGATACCTAGATATCCAGCAGTCACATAAAGTGCACCTGGGCTCTACTGTTCTACAGGGAGACAAGGAACCTACCGAGCTGACTCTCTTCTCCCGGTAAGATCGATGAAAGCCCTTTAGTGAAACCCACTTTCTCCACTTGGCCATTTATCATTAAAGACCTCCAATCGCCTCCATCAGAAAGGACGAATACGCACTTTTTGTATCAACATGGACGGGACTGGAGGAGATCATGCTGAGTGAAGTAAGTCAAGCGAGAGAGTCAATTATCATATGGTTTCACTCACTTGTGGAACATAAGGAATACCATGGAGGACATTAGGAGAAGGAAAGGAAAAGTGAATTGGGGGAAATTGGAGGGGGAGACAAACCATGAGAGACTGTGAACGCTGAGAAACAAACTGAGGGTTTTGGAGGGGCAGGGGTGGGGGGTTGGGTGAGCCTGTGGTGGGTATTAAGGAGGGCACGGATTGCATGGACACTGCGTGTGGTGCATGGACAATGCAACTTAGAACACTGAAAAAATAAAATCTTTAAAAAATAATAAAAAAATAAAGACCTCCATCACACAGAAGGTGGGCAGGGGGCTGGGGTGTGTCCACTAAGCTAGGACTTCACTGGTGATGGCTCACACCTTCCCCTCCAGTTTCTGACCAAGTGAGGTATGTCGTTGTCACGGCAACACTTGGCGCGTGACACCAGCCTAGATGCCAGGTGATCCGAGCACCATGCCAGCCAGGCTGGAGTCCCACTCACAGGGGTCTGTCCTGGCGAGGAGCAGGGGAAGCTCACTTGGGTAGGAAGGCTCTGCCTTCTTCTTCGGGAAAAGGTTCTCTGTCTATATTGCTTCTACCTTAAAGAAAATGTATTTTCTATAAGATGCTGCACAGTTCTCTGAGAAATCTCCTGAGGCCTTCAGGAATTTTCATGATTTTAGAGAACTAGAATTTTTACAAAAAATGTCTTCTTTCAGAAGTGCCTGTGGAGGGACAAATCCAATATGGATAATTATATTGTGGAATGCACCCTGAGAGAAACATGAAAGAAGACAAGGGCAAGCCCAAGAAGATGACCTTTAAATAGACTGATAATTACCTCCCTCCAGCAGTTACAGAGCAGAAGTGATTGCTAAGTGTTTCCTATCACTTACAGCCAGCGCCCTCTGCTGGTCCTGAAGGTTCTGTTCAGCGATCACCGCCTCCCGCTGTGTTTACAGACGTCCACGCCCTCCTTCAGCAGGACTTTATTCAAACAGCTAATGCATGTGTCAGATTCCTGTCTTTATACGACAACTATATTAAAAACTTTGAGTTATTCATTTTTCTAGATTTTCTGAAAACACATTAGGATCATCAAATCTTGTTCTTCCTCTAAAATACTAACACTTGTTGGAAATGTTGCAAAGTGCTCATATGAAACAACTGCAACGACTGAGCTCAGCAGCTGACATCCCACACCTGCCTTCCCTTTCACCTGAGGCGGCTGAGGGCAGAGACAACCATCCCCAGGACAAGTGCAATTGGCAAATGCCGCCTGCCAACAGCACGAGTCCAACCACACACTGCAAACGGATCAGACTTGTGTGACAAATCACAGCGGAAGGTATGGGGATTGCCTAGCATGTCCCCAAACGCTAACGACCTGTCCTATGCACTATATTTCAATTATGTCCCAACTCCCCAAGAATACCCACTTTCATGCTAACACCGTCAGTACTGAGCAAAAACGGCTTTCTCCCATCTCCTGCTCTGTGGTCAAGGGTATACAGACCCTTGATTTAAAAAGCCTGAGGAGGGGGCGCCTGGGTGGCTCAGTGCGCTGAGCCTCTGCCCTCCGCTGGGATGGAGCCCGCATCAGGCTCTCTGCTCAGCAGGGAGCCTGCTTCCTCCTCTCTCTGCAGCCTCTCTGCCTACTTGTGATCTCTCTCTCTCTCTCTGAGTCAAATAAGTAAAAAAATAAATGATCTTAAAATAAAATATAAAAGCCTGAGGAGGATCAGGAGGGGGCGGAGGGGTGGGGAGAGGAGGAGTATGAGCTTTCTAATTTCCAGAATGCATGAATTAGCAAAGCCTCTGGAGGTCTTCCTGGCTTTTTAAATGTTCTTATTAAGCGTGTATTCCTTGCTTTTTCGCCTACCGCTCGCGGCAACAACGCCGGTACGCGTCAGTGATTCACAAGGGAATACCACACCAGCCTTGGTGGGAGTCGACTCGCAGGAGCTCGCTGGAAGGCGGGAAAGCGAGGCAGCGTCCCGGGGCGAAGTCCGGAGTTAGGGACACACGCTGCACCTTGTAAGCCAGCGCTACCTGCGGAGGACTTGGAAGCCCCCTTCCCCGCAGACTTACCGCCTTTTTCCATCCAGTCCGTCCGCGCCGCGGAGCCTGGAGGACGCCAGACGCTCGGGCTCCCCGGCGAGGTCAGCGCGGGTCCCACGGAGCACGCAGGTGCCTGCCGGAAAACAGCGGCCACCCCTCGGTGAGACCGACTGCAGCCGGGAGCCGCGGGCACCCCGCCCCCGCCGTCGGGGACTCACCTGCACCGCCACCTGCGCCAGCAGCAGCGAGCACAGCGCCGCGCAGCCGGGCGCCCGCAGGGACGGGCCGCCCCTCGTGCCCCACGCCCTGCGCCCGCGAGGCGGCCCGGCGAGGAGAGCGCGTCGCTCCATCCAGGGGCGCTCCAGGTGGCCGGGGCGGCGGGATGGCCCCGGCCCGGCGGCTGCAAGTGGGCACCGAGGACCCGGGCCGGCCGGCGCGCAGCAGCTTCCCCGCGGCGCCTGCGCCGCCCGCGCGGGGTTATCACTGCGGCCCGGGGCGGCGCGGGGGGCGGAGGGGTGGCCACGGCGGCGGGGGCGGTGGCGGAGCACCAGCCCGCACCGTGGGAGAGCGGCGGGCGGAGGAGGGGAGCGCAGGGGAGGCGGAGAGGATCGGCAAGGGGAGGAGAGGAGGGAGCAGGAGGAGTCGGCGGGGGCGGTGGGGTGTGGAGCGGGAGGAAGAGGGCAGGAGGGGAGACAGAAAGGGGAGGGAGGCGGCCGAGGAAAGCGGGCGGCGGGGTGAGACCGACGGGAGGGGGGCTGGGGAGGATCCCTGCGGCTGGGCGGTGGCCCCGAAGCTCGGAATGTGAGCGGCAGAAGCCACTCTCCAGGTGCCCGCGAACCTGCAGTCGCGCTGCATGGCGCAGGGAGCTGCCTGGCCCGCACCCCCAGGGCCAGACACCTGCCGCGGCTGAGCGGGCTGGGCGGTGCCTGGGTCCCACAGGTCTGTCCCTCCCGCTCCATGTGGGAGATCGAGTGTGGGACAGCGGCGGCGCCCAGAGCTTGGTGTGTCTTCTGGGTATGCACAAACGTGTGTAGCTCTGGGCTCCGGAGGTGATGGGAGGGCAGGGAGGTCGAAGAAGCCATGTCTGTCTCCTGGTCAGTCCTGGGATGTCCAGGCGCTCCGGGCCCCGGGCCACCTGCCCTGGAGAGCCTGTGTGCTCCCGCTGCTGAGAATCCGAGTGTAGCCAATCCATTAGGAGGCCTTGGGGTTGGGGATCGCTGTGGGCCCCGCTGGGGGGCAGGGCTGCAAGGGCCCAGGGAGCCCCAGGGGCTTGAGCCCTGATCTGGCAGTAAGCCCAGTGTCCTGTGATGGTGTGTGTGAACGCATGTGTGTGTGTTTGAATGTGAGTGCGGATGTGCCCCAGTACCTGTGCATGCACATGTGTGCGTGTGTGTGTGCGTGCATGCACACCTGTGCCAGTGCGTGTTCTCCCCACATGCGTTGCCTGTGGCCGCTGTGCTCCACTGATTGCCCCTTTCCTCCCTGACCACATACCTCCTGCAGGTCCCGGAGGGCTGGGCTCCTATTTCTGTGGTTCCAGTGTCCCTCACATTCACTTTATCCCCGATTTGTGGATTTTGCACATTTTGGAGAGGAAAGTGGAGAGGGAAAGAGTGACTGGCGTTTCTGGTTTCCGTTGCCCAGCCAGCTTTGAGCCTGTTGGGGGTTTCTTACCTCTGGCAGTCTGGAAGTGCCAGATATCTGGGGCTTGGATAGATGAACCCCCAGGCTGAGCAGTGACTGGCTCGCAGGCTCTCTCCCTTTCTCTCATATTCATTTATTTGAAAAAGCTCCTTAAAATGAAAACAGTTTTATGAAAAGGGCTGCATTGGGGGCGGTCTTCAAAACACCTATCACCTCCCCCTCCTGCAGCTCCAGACAAGGAGCTCACCCGAGAGGAACCAGATGCTGGTGTGGCTGGGCAGAGCCTCAGGGTCTGGCTTGGGTTAGGCAGGTGGCTGCTGTTCCTTCTGTCACGAGTCCAGGGCCTCACGTGCTTGAGAAATACAGATCTCGAACTACTGCTAATTATGTTGAATGTAACTTGCACGGGGATCAGGTTTTCCAAGTCTAGCTAAGATCACATGAAGACACCCAGGGGTTCTTTTTTGTGTTTAAACAGATGGAATGAAAGAAGAATGGCTGGTGTAAAAGGATTCAGTTTTAGGACTTTTTTTTTCCTTCTTGAATAATACCCAATGAGTCTCTTTCCATTGGAAGAAACCGTATCCCTTACAGTGACGAGTGTTTTCCAGTTCTTTTAGCCGTTCACTGAATTCCGTGCTCATCCCAGACCAGGGATGTGTCTTCTATGACACTGAGCAAACTCCAGCCTGGGGCCAGGCGGGGACCTGAGCAGAGGGAGCCTGCTGACCTGGGTATGAGAAAGGCCTTGAAACAAGGTGGAGGGGATGGGAGTTGTGATTTCCAATAAAATACATATAGTTGGTGTTTCCATTTCTGCCATGGAGCTCCTAAAATCCTTGGAATTTCCTAAGAAGAGAGACCCCCAAAGGGGCTTTTTGTTATCCTAACAAGGTGACTTCACATGGGCTGCAGGGGGCTGGTGGCCTGGAGTGCCAGCCTTGTGTGTAGAAGGGTGGAACTTCCAGTCCCCCTTCCTGACCCCCTTTCTCTCCCGGAAGGGGAAGACTCTGTCTGGGGCTTAGTTCCATCACCAATGGCCAGTGATTTCATCAATCCTGACTATATAATGAAGGTCCATGAAAACCCCCAAGGAACAGGGTTCAGAGAGCTTCCCAGGGTGAATAGGTAGAGAAGCAGGAACAGAGAGCGTCGGAGAGTGTGGACAGACGCCCCGTGACCTTCCCCGCGACCTTGCCCAATGCCTTTCTTCCATCTGGCTCTTTCTGACTTACATTCTATTATAATAAACCAGTGACCTGGGGAGTAAAATGTTTCTCTAAGTTCTGTGAGCCACTCTAGCAAATTAGTTGAACCTGCAGAGTGGGCCCTTCCAGTCCACAGCCATTTGACAGGGGACAACCAGGTTTCAAACTGGCATCAGAAGTGGGGGTGGGGTGAGATCTCTGCTCTCTGACCTGACTTGCCGTGGGGTCAGCAGGTCTGGCCCCACAGTCCTTTTCCAAAAGAGGCTTTATAGGCTTAAAAGTGGAAAGAGTATCTCCACAGTGTGAGACAGTAGCATATTCAGAAACAAGAAAAGGCCGTGTTTGATGTCAGAAGACTTAAATTCCCGCAGTGAAAGATGAGGGCAGGGCCTGTGTCTTGTGGATGACCTGACATTTAGAGCTGACCTTGAAGTCTGACTTAGTACAAGTTAGGAAATCAGGAGCTGCCAGAAAAACCATTTTCCAGAGCGGGCCACAGGTGGGATGCAGGCCCTGTGTTTCCTCTGGAGACCCACGGAGTCCGGGCTGGATCCGAGCCGCCTCCTAAGGCTAAGAGGCTATCACCGCTTTGGTCTGTGAGCCCAAGGATCCGTCAAAAGCCCCAGAGCCTCAATGTCACATTCCGAGGCTGAGTCTGCTACTGGCTACACTCCAGAAGCTGGTCTCCTCCCTTACTTTGAGACTTGACTCTTAGCAAGAAGCCAAGGGGAAACTGGGAAACAATGCAACAGACAAGGTTAGATTCCTACACGCAAAGCGTGGCATTAATAAGCCCTTTCCCTTTATCATTGAACACTTAGAAATTTAGCTCAAATATTAGTTTAGATTATTATAGAAAATATAACTATTTAGTGTTATTATTTATGATAGGTTTATAGTCATTATTATACATAGATTTTTTTCTCTTTTGTTTTTTATTTTATAGACAGAGAAGAGCAGAGGGAGAGAGAATCTGAGGTCGGCTCCATGCCCAGTGTGTGAGCCCAATGCAGGGCTCGAACTCATGATCCTGAGAGCATGACATGACCTGATATCAAGAGTCGGAAATCCAGTGTGGCGAGTATTTGATAAGTGAGTAAATTACTCTCTGTGTGTTTGCCTTCCATTCTGTCTCCTCTACTGCAGGATTCCATGTTCTCGTTTCATGGAAGGCAAGTCCTTTTCTAGACAGGAAGTACCAGCAGTTTCAAGAAGCTTAACTCCGCCTCCTGAAGGAGGCCACGTTGAAACCGCTCAAAACCATAAAGTTGCCCCAAAATCAAAATGGCTGCAGGAATGTTTCAGGGAAGAGGATTTCAAACTAAGTAACCTATTTCCTCTCTTCCCAGCCCTCCCCTCCTCCCTTCCTAGCCTTTTGTTTCAGGAACCCCCCCACTGCCCCATCCTTCTGACTCAGGAGGCTTGACTGCCCTCGGATGGCAGGCAGGAGCTGTCCACACTGACGGCTGTCTGCGGCCTGCCTCGGCGGACCCTGCGCGTTCTCTTTGAGCAGCCTGCATGGCGGGCATGATCCGGCTCCTGGGGCCTCACTTGCTTCTTCTGGGTCAGGTCCCACTCGCCTCTCCAACATGCCTTTGCCAAGCAACCGTCTGCTCTCTTGTGGTCTCTGTATCTCTCTAGAACATAAAAATTGTCATTCTCTGTGGCCACAGCTGCCAGTGTTTCTCCCATTTCTGCCTTTGGTTTTGCCAGCGGATTTGAAGGATCTCAGCTCATACACACCTTATTCACGGCCAGCTCCTTCTTTGCCTCTGCCTCCTGTGGGACGCTCATCCGATTTTCCTGAATGGACCAGGAACACCATGGCACAGGATGGCCAGGGTTTCCTTGGGCGGGGGGTCGTAGGATCAGAGTAGGGAAGGGACTCTACATGGTCAGGCTAGAGATGGGCAACCAATGTGGACAATTGTTTAGAAAACAGGTGAGAAATGATAGTGGCTTGGACAGCATGTGACGATGGCTTTGTGGACAAATGAACAACACTAAGTTTATTTAAGAGATAGGATTTGCAGAAGTTGCAAAGTAGATGATTGCACAAATGAGAACAATTTAAGAATAATCAAGGTATTTAAAGTACCAACACACTTCCAAGACAGACAGCAGTGAATGTGGAGCAGAGTTCCAGGTTTTATAGCCTCGTAAAATTCTCAAAGGAAAACTCGTGAAGAAAACCAATCTCCAGTGTCCGGGCTTCCACTTTCCTAAGGTAAGAAAAATATGGTAAATGCATTAACTTGAAATTAAGAAGGCTTTTGCGTTGAATGCTTTTAACTTAATGAAACACTCCTTGTGTTGCCCTTATTGCCCTTATTCACCACTAAACACGCCGCATCTATAGACAGTTAGAAAAATGAATTCACGATGAGCAGCGAGTACTCAGCTTGCCTCTCCACAGTGTCTTGACCTGATGGAAACCATAGGCTTCAGGGAGGATCTGGGAAGCAAGTGGGGAGAGCGGTTGGAAGAGAAATCCTTGA